ATCACTTCGCCACGGCCACGGCCATGGCCAAGGCCAAGAGCAAGGCCAAGCCGCCGAGTGACCCAACAGCGCCAGAGCCCAAGTACGGCAGCCTCGAGGAGGCGCAGGCTGCAGCGCTAGCGCGCGCGCGCGAAGAACCTCCACAACAAGGACGGCCCCAAAGGATGCCGAGCCTGCATGGGCGAACGGTTTGAGGTTGTGCGGAAGAAAAGATCATTGGCGAGAGCCGCAATACATCGAGATCTCAGGCAAACTCTAGAAACCGATTCTCGCCGAGCACCAGGAGCCGCAAGAGCGAGGAATCATCATCTTCACCATCTACATCTACCTCTACATCATCATCAGCATCATCATCATCATCATCATCATCATCATCACCATCACCATCACCATCACCATCACCATCACCATCACCATCACCATCACCATCACCATCACCATCACCATCATCATCATCATCATCATCATCATCATCATCATCATCACCATCATCTTCAAGAGCCGCCATATCTTGTCATTGAAATCGTGTGATTGTCCATCGGAATCCGATGGGTTTCGTGAGGGATCTCATGGATTCCACAAGGGATCACATTGATTTCCTGTGGGTGCCTATGGATATCCTAAGGAATCCGATGAAATCCCCTAAGATTACTATGGCTGTCCTCAGGGGCCGTGTACATTCCCACAGGCATACAACAGATGCCCTTCGGATCCCGATGGGTATCCTCAGGCATCCTCGGGGTCCCCATCGGAGTCTCATAGATATCACACGGAACCCATTGATTGCCGAGGGAATCCGATGGAATGCAGAAGGAACCCGATGGATGCCACAAGGAATCCCACAAGCTTTTTTGTATGGGATTCTTCTGGATGCCCTAAGGAGCCCCATGCATCTCCGAAGGAATTTTATGGATGTCCCAAGGAACGTTTGCATGTCCACATGAACCAACATGATTTCCGAAACAAATCCGCTGGAAGGCATTCCGTAAGGAATCAATTGATTTTCCCTGGGGTTCCGATGGACATCGGTTTGGAACCTTACGAATCGCCATCGGACTCTGATGCGTTTCCCATGGAGCCCTACGGATTTCTTACGGTATCCGATAGACTTCCTGCAAAGTCCTATGCGTATCCTAAGGAATCGTACAGATGTCCACAGGAACCCGATGGATTGTCTCAGTGTGATCTCGTGGATGGCTTAAGGAATACAGTTGGTTTTCTATGGGTTCCTATGGATATGGCAGGGAACCCCCTTCGGATGCCAATGGGCTTCCTCCGGAATCCTCTAAATGTCAATCTGAATACAATCGATGTCCTCAAGATTCCGATGGATATCCGCAGGAATCCTGTGTATGCCCATACGGGTTTTATAGACTGCCAACGGAAACCTATGTATTTCCGAATGAATCCTATGGAATTCCGATGGAATCGGATGGATGCCCTGAGGACCCCTGCGGATTTTCATAGGCTCCCGATGGCTTCCCGAAGATCCCATGCATGTCCTGAGGGGTCTCATGGATTCCCCAAGGAACCCTATAGACTTTTATATGACCCCCACGGCTTTCCAAAGACGTCCTATGGATGTCCTGAGTCCTGAGGCATTCCCTAAGGAATCAATGCGTTTCCTTAGGATTCCGATGGACATCGTAAGGAATCCTCCGGATTTCCATCGGAACTCTCATGGGTGTCCTGCGGGACCTAATGGATTTCAGAAGGAACCCAATGGATTTCTTAAGGAATTCCTCCATGGATATCCTAAAGCATCCCGTGGATTCCCATAGGATTCCCATGGGTTCCCGAAGGAGCCCAATGGAATTCATAAGAAATCCCATGTATGTCCTTGGGTTCCCACGGGTATCCTAAGGGATCCTATGGATTTTCATTGGGTTCGATGGATGTCTTGAAGAGCCCGATCGATTTCCTGAGGATTCGAAATCCCATGATTTGCCATAGGATTCATATGGGTTTCCTCCGGAACCCGATGGCTTTCCTAACGAGCCCCATGGATATCCTCAGGCGTCCTATGAATTCCGATAGGATTGTTATGGATGTCCGAAGGACTCCGATGGATTATATTCCAAACAAATCTCATGGGCGTTTAGGATCCTCTTGGTCAGCATCATCGTCACCATCTTCAGCATTATTCTGAAATCTCCGGGGCAGCGTTTATTGTCCCGCCTGGGCCCCAAATTTTATCAAATCGCCTCTCATTCCTCCAGCCCATCGGGAATGATGCATTCTTGCGTGTGGGAGCTCTCTCGGGAGGCTTCTTGGTGGCCGCTGGGCCGTCTGGAAGCGTTTTGCCCATGGGGACTCTTTTGGGAGGCTTCTTGGTGGCCTGTTGGGGACTCTTAAACGCGTCGGGTCGTTGGCACTTGCTTGCGTGCTCGGGGGGGGCATTTGGGGGGCCTCCTGGGGCCGCTTGGGGGCCTGTTGGGTGCCTCCTGAGGGTGTTGGGGGCCTGTTAGAGGCCTCTTGGGGACTCCTGGTGGCTTGTCAGGGCCGGGGGCTCGAAATCTTGTGTCGTGCTCCCCCCCTGGGACCTCTCTTGAAGCGTTCTTGGGGCCTTATCGAGCCGTCTTGGAGCCCTCTTGGGCCGTCTTGGGGCCCTCTTTGGGCGGTCTTGGGGGCCTCTTGGGCCGTGTCGGGAAGCCGAAAAGGAGAAAACGCCAAAATCCGCCGACCCTGTCGGCGTGTGCGAGGGGCTTCCTCGTCCGTTCCTCGCCACCCCCCCTTTTTCCTTCCTCCTTTTTTCTTTTTGGGCCGTACCCTCCTGCGGTCATGCCGTTGTATATTCGAAGGGAAGCCCCTTCCCTTTGATCCCTTCCCCAGGGGGGGGGTCCCGGGGGGGGGTCCCGGGGAGGGTCCCAGGGGGGTCCCGAGGGGGGGTGGGGCGGGGGGGGGGGGGGGGGGGGGGAGGGGGGGGGAGGGGGCAGATTAGTTTTTCCTCGGGCGGCCTCGAAACCTCGAAAACACTCCACATGAGGTCAGAATGCCCAAGATGGCCCCCGAGACGGCCCAAGAGTGCCCCGAGTCGCCCAAAGACCGGCCGAAGACGTCCAAGATAGCCCCAAGACCGTCCAAGAAGCCTCCAAGACGTCCCAGGCCCCCTCCAAGAGCACCCCCAAGAAGGGCCCAAGAGGCCACACTCATTACTTTTCCATCGGGAACTTACATTTATAGCATATACGACGTTTCGGCCTTCACGGCGTCACAGACAGCTTCGGCTTCAGGGTCGGCGGCACCGGCCGTAAGGCCTTCGCAATCTCTCCCAAACTTGAAGAGCAGTAATGAATTGTGCCTCTTGGGGCCCTCTTGAGAATGCTCTTGGAGGCCTCTTGGGCCGTCTGGGGCCATCTTGGGCGTCTTGGAGCGACCTTGTGGCATCTCGGAGCTCTCTGGTATCATCTTGAGGAGCTACTGGCGGCCCCTTGGCCTTTCTTGGGGCGCTCTAAACGACCTGGAGGGCGGCGCCCAGGAAGAAAGCCATCTCTGACCCGAGTCTCCCGGGACCCGCCCGGGGTACTTTTCGTCGGGGGACCCGCAGGGACCGCCGCGCGCGCGCCAAGTAGAATTACTGTAAAGCAGTTACCCGAGATCTTAGCACGCCTCTGGCCCGTTGGGAATGCATTATCCCCAGGGGGGTATTGTCTGGAGCTTAGGGTTAGACTCTACCGACAGGCCCAGTCCCTGAAACCATAAGTAAGTGCAAGCACTGTTTTGGGCATGTGCCTTCACTATATTGTCTGTCCCACGGTCACAGGACAACACAGAAACGCAGGTGAAAAACTGGACCGCGAAATGCCGAATCGCTGTAACCCTCGCAGCCAAATCCCATACGAAAGCCTAAGACTTCCCCGTTGCGCTTCCGCCTTCTCCGGTCTTTCTCCCACATCTCGTCATCCACTCCCTCCTCCTCCAGTCCGTTGATATTCTATGATTGCAATAATTCCCTCAGATCAGGAGGCCCTTCCCGTCCGCAAGTACCCTCTCTGTTGTCCACCTGCCCCAACCCCACATTCAGAGACAAGGGGGAGGTGGGATAATGGGGGGAGGGACAATGAGGATCGAGACAGGGAGCGGTGGCGGTGGGGTCAAGTTCCGAACGGCCTCCGGAACTCAAAATATGCAGCGACCGCAATTCGCAGCCAGTGCGAAGCAATACTGTCGCCAGTTGCGCCTCGCTCACCAAGTGCGAAAGGACCAAGCGTGCCAGGTGAGCCATGCACGCGACGCGCGCTATGCACGCTAAGATTTCACCACGTGACAGCCCACATCGGGCAATATGTCGGCGGCACGCGTATCCCTCCCACAGGTACACGGGAAGTAGCGGTGGGTGGCTTTTGCATGCTGTACTGCGCATGCAGCCGCAATCACATTGCATTGCTATTTGGCGAAGGTGGTGGGCCAGCGTACAGCTGAGCATACGCTCTCACCCCCACAACACATGACACAAGCAAGCGTAACATTGAGGACGGCCTGCCCTACAACATGATGACGAGTATGGAGTATGATGGTGAGGGTGGTATCGTTGCTCTACCCGGCGGCCACTCGAATGGTGATGATGGTGGACAGAAAAATGGAATGGACCCGGCGCGACCCCAATTAGGGGAAAGCTTCCTATTGCGTGGGCGCAGTGCTTGGCATTGCTTGGCATTACTTAGTGCCCGAGGACCCCGAGAAATCCGAGGAATCCGATCCAAGGAACCCGAGGAACAAGAGGAGCCTCCGAGCAAACACCCGAGGAACCCGAGGAACCCGGGGAACCTCCGAGGAATCGGCAACGTGGCAGCCTAATTAAGGAGAAAGGGGGAATAGAGCAAGAGGAGTGGTGCAGAATGGGAATGGCGGATGGGAGACTGGGAATGGAGAGGGGGGGGGACCAGGCCGGGGAGGAGAAGGGAGAAAGAGGAATGCCCCACCCGAAGTTTCCTCCGCCCACACTGGGGGATGGCATGCATTCGGGGGGAAGATGCGACGGCGAAGGGTGGTTGTCTCACCCGCTCGAGGATCTCCATGCCAGCCTGCATGCAGTTCGGGGCCCCGCCCTTCACGAATCCTGTAGTGGGTAATCGCGGCGTCGAGCAGAGGCCCGAAGGAAAATGTGGAGCAGTGAGGGGGATGAGGGATAAGGAAAGGGTGGAAGCTCGGGCCCAGGTGATTGCGGGCGTTCGTACGCGTGTTCTGAACGTCGACCAGAGACGGTATCTTCTCATTCCCTCTCCTTACGACTTGAACAAGTTGAGTCTCGCCGCGCGCATGCACGAACAGGCCTACCGAGCCCGCTCATCCCTGCGTTCATTAGCCAGGCACCATCCACTGCCCTGAGGCATCTCGGCGGTTGAAAGTGGCCCCCATGACCAGAACACGATTGGAACACCTCTGCGGGAGACGGATAATTCTACACAAACTGCCAGAGCATGGTTGATCTATTAGAATGCATGTGTTATCCTCGTGAACGGGGGGAACCTAGGCCACACGGCTTGATTGCAACCCGCTAGAGCCCGATAGTGCGCCAACACATGCAAACTGTGCGGCAAGCTGAGAGGCTCAAGACGCGGCAGCAAGCAGGACCTCTCTTGATGGCGTACTGAGCGCAGAGGAGCATTGGGGACCACGGCATGGTACTCCCGTCGTCCTGCGCACGGATACAGCAAGCTATACGCGATATTGTGACCACACGAGAGCAGGCAAAATATGCACTCTTGCGACTCTTCTCCCGGCCATTGTTGGGAGGACTGAAGCCACTTTCAGACACAGTGCATGCACTCAGAAGCTCGTCCTCATGGCAGCCAGCCACACGCATTGCCAGCGAGGACTCCACTTTCAAAGGTAACCCTCAACAACATCAATCACCTGGCTTCGGCCAACATGGCCGACTCCGGAAACCCTGGATCAATTCATGTTGGCATCTTATACCTCACTTCCGCCGCCTGCCGCCGAGCTTCCGACGGCTTCCGCTGGCGGACCCGCCGCTGTTTTACTGCCGCCAGCCGACGTCCGCCGAAGACGGGAGCGCGGAAGGCGAGGCCCTTTCTGCAGCGCCCCGCGTGGGGTGCACCGGGAGCCAAAAAAGATCGAGGTAGGGTAAAGCTGCGGTAAAGCTTGTTCAGCTGTTTTTTCCTAACAGCGAAGACTAATAGGCTTCTAGTGGTGTCAAAAGAGAGCAGCAAATGACTCCACAGGGGGGTCCGGGCGGGACCCGGGGCGGCTGCCGCCGAAGCCCAAATCGCCTGGGACATCCTCGCAAAATCGCTCTTGGCGCTGCTAAAACTCCATTCCTGGCGTACATTTTGGATGCCCGGAGCCAACTGTAGGCCACTTCGTGGTCTTCGAGTTCCCAGAACTCCATTCCCGGCGTACATTTTGGATGCCCGGAGCCAACTGTAGGCCACTTCGTGGTCTTCGAGTTCCCAGAACTCCATTCCCGGGCCACATTTTGGATGCCCGGAGCCAACTGTAGGCCACTTCGTGGTCTTCGAGTTCCCAGAACTCCATTCCCGGGCCACATTTTGGATGCCCGGAGCCAACTGTAGGCCACTTCGTGGTCTTCGAGTTCCCAGAACTCCATTCCCGGGCCATGATTTTGAATGCCCGGAGCCAACTGTAGGCCACTTCGTGTTCTTCGAGTTTCCAGAACTCCATTCCCGGGCCACATTTTGAATGCTGAGGCAGGCTGAGGCTGAGGCTGAGGCAGGCTGAGGCTGAGGCAGGCTGAGGCTGAGGCCGAGGCTGAAGGCAGACTGAGGCTGAGGCTGAAGCAGGCTCTGAGGCTGAGGCTGAGGCAGGCTGAGGCTGAGGCTGAGGCAGGCTGAGGCTGAGGCTGAGGCTGAGGCTGAGGCAGGCTGAGGCTGAGGCTGAGACAGGCTGAGGCTGAGGCTGAGGCTGAGGCAGGCTGAGGCTGAGGCTGAGGCTGATGCTGAGGCTGAGGCTGAGGCAGGCTGAGGCTGAGGCCGAGGCTGAAGGCAGACTGAGGCTGAGGCTGAAGCAGGCTGAGGCTGAGGCTGAGGCAGGCTGAGGCTGAGGCTGAGGCAGGCTGAGGCTGAGGCAGGCTGAGGCTGAGGCTGAGGCTGATGCAGGCTGAGGCTGAGGCAGGCTGAGGCTGAGGCCGAGGCTGAAGGCAGACTGAGGCTGAGGCTGAAGCAGGCTGAGGCTGAGGCTGAGGCAGGCTGAGGCTGAGGCTGAGGCAGGCTGATGCTGAGGCAGGCTGAGGCTGAGGCTGAGGCTGAGGCTGATGCAGGGTGAGGCTGAGGCAGGCTGAGGCTGAGGCCGAGGCTGAATGCAGACTGAGGCTGAGGCTGAAGCAGGCTGAGGCTGAGGCTGAGGCAGGCTGAGGCTGAGGCTGAGGCAGGCTGATGCTGAGGCAGGCTGAGGCTGAGGCTGAGGCTGAGGCTGAGGCTGCAGGCTGAGGCTGAGGCAGGCTGAGGCTGAGGCCGAGGCTGAAGGCAGACTGAGGCTGAGGCTGAAGCAGGCTGAGGCTGAGGCTGAGGCAGGCTGAGGCTGAGGCTGAGGCAGGCTGATGCTGAGGCAGGCTGAGGCTGAGGCTGAGGCTGATGCAGGCTGAGGCTGAGGCAGGCTGAGGCTGAGGCAGGCTGAGGCTGAGGCCGAGGCTGAAGGCAGACTGAGGCTGAGGCTGAAGCAGGCTGAGGCTGAGGCAGAGGCAGGCTGAGGCTGAGGCTGAGGCTGATGCTGAGGCAGGCTGAGGCTGAGGCTGAGGCAGGCTGAGGCTGAGGCAGGCTGAGGCTGAGGCCGAGGCTGAAGGCAGACTGAGGCTGAGGCTGAAGCAGGCTGAGGCTGAGGCTGAGGCAGGCTGAGGCTGAGGCTGAGGCAGGCTGATGCTGAGCAGGCTGAGGCTGAGGCTGAGGCTGATGCAGGCTGAGGCTGAGGCAGGCTGAGGCTGAGGCCGAGGCTGAAGGCAGACTGAGGCTGAGGCTGAAGCAGGCTGAGGCTGAGGCAGGCTGAGGCTGAGGCTGAGGCAGGCTGATGCTGAGGCAGGCTGAGGCTGAGGCTGAGGCTGATGCAGGCTGAGGCTGAGGCAGGCTGAGGCTGAGGCCGAGGCTGAAGGCAGACTGATGCTGAGGCTGAAGCAGGCTGAGGCTGAGGCTGAGGCAGGCTGAGGCTGAGGCAGGCTGAGGCTGAGGCTGAGGCAGGCTGAGGCTGAGGCTGTGACTGCGACTGCCGTTGCCACTGCGACTGCCATCGCGAATGCGACCACGACTGCGAGAACAGCAGAATTCTACAACAGGATTATCATCTGAATCTTAAGGGAATGCTTCCAGATATGCTCCTACACATCGCTGTTAGGTTGCTTTGCTGGGATAACTCTGAGTCAGCGCCATCGAGCACATCCACAGACAAAGACGGGGAACCGAGAGACCCTGTACCCTGATGCCCGCATTCTCTGGTGCTCTGGCAAGGCAATGCGGGACTCTGGCTGAGATGCCCGCCCTCACGATGGACTAGAATGTAGAAGTTAGCCGGACCTCGGATTATAAGAATATACTGTCCGCAAGTCTGCGAATAGGAAATCCCAGAGGCCCTTTAATGCCCAGGTCCTGCGTAGGTGGTTTAGGGAGTTTCCGATCCCAACCAAGCAGCAGAAGCAGGTCAAGCTTTTCGCGGGTCCCTCACGCCAGAAATTAGCCTGGCTAAGGACCCAAGCATATGCAGTTGTGAATGCCGCAATTGTGCTGGGTGGTGGCGGACGCATGCGGGCGGTGCCACTGGGACCTTCGGTGGAGCTCCCTATGGGGCCACGAAACGCTGTACTGGGTGGGTGAGACGCGGTCAGCAAGGGCTGTGCTGCGTGGTGGCGGACGCATGCGAGCGGTGCCACTGGGACCTTCGGTGGAGCTCCCTATGGGGCCACGAAACGCTGTACTGGGTGGGTGAAACGCAGGCAGGGAGCAAGGGCTGTGCAGGGTGGTGGCGGACGCATGCGGGCGGTGCCGCTGGGACCTTTGGTGGAGCTCCCTATAGGGCTACGAAGCGCTGTTCTGGGTGGGTGAAGCGCAGGGAACAAGGGCTGTGCTGGGTGGTGGCGGACGCAAGCGGGCAGTGCCACTGGGACCTTTGGTGGAGCCCCCTATGGGGCCACGAAACGTGCGAGGGGTGTGCCAGAATGGGGTGTGGAACCGCATGCCAGCGCAGCCACTGGGGCCTTCGGTGGAGCTCCCTATGGAGCCACGGAACGTGTGAGGGGTGTGCCGAAATGAGGTGTGGAACCGCATGCGAGCGCAGCCACTGCGGCGTTCGGTGGAGCTCCCTCACTATGAGGCCACGAGACGTGTGAAGGGCGTGCCGAAAAATTGGCTGGAACCGCATGCGAGCGCAACCACTGGGGCCTTCGGTGTAGCTCTCTATGGGACCACGAACCGTGTGAGGGGTGTGCCGAAATGAGGGGGGGGAACCACATGCGAGCGCAGCCACTGGGGCGTTCGGTGGAGCTCCCCATGGAGCCACCCACGAAGCGTGTGAGGGGTGTGCCGAAATGGGGGGTGGAACCGCATGCGGGCGCAGCCACTGGAGCCTTCGGTGGAGCTCCCTATGGGGCCACGAAACGTGTGAGGGGTGTGCCAGAATGGGGGGTGGAACCGCATGCGGGCGCAGCCACTGGGGCCTTCGGTGGAGCTCCATCAGAATATTGAAGCATGGGTGTGAGGGTGTGCCACCGCATGCGGCGCAGCCACTGGGGCCTCGGTGGAGCTCCCTATGGGGCCACGAAACGTGTGAGGGGTGTGCCAGAATGGGGGGTGGAACCGCATGCGGGCGCAGCCACTGGGGCCTTCGGTGGAGCTCCCTATGGGGCCACGAAACGTGTGAGGGGTGTGCCAGAATGGGGGGTGGAACCGCATGCGGGCGCAGCCACTGGGGCCTTCGGTGGAGCTCCCTATGGGGCCACGAAACGTGTGAGGGGTGTGCCAGAATGGGGGGTGGAACCGCATGCGGGCGCAGCCACTGGGGCCTTCGGTGGAGCTCCCTATGGGGCCACGAAACGTGTGAGGGGTGTGCCAGAATGGGGGGTGGAACCGCATGCGGGCGCAGCCACTGGGGCCTTCGGTGGAGCTCCCTATGGGGCCACGAAACGTGTGAGGGGTGTGCCAGAATGGGGGGTGGAACCGCATGCGGGCGCAGCCACTGGGGCCTTCGGTGGAGCTCCCTATGGGGCCACGAAGCGTGTGCGAGCGCAGCCACTGGGGCGTTCGGTGGAGCTCCCCATGGAGCCATGTGAGGGGTGTGCCGAAATGGGGGGTGGAACCGCATGCGGGCGCAGCCACTGGGGCCTTCGGTGGAGCTCCCTATGGGGCCACGAAACGTGTGAGGGGTGTGCCAGAATGGGGGGTGGAACCGCATGCGGGCGCAGCCACTGGGGCCTTCGGTGGAGCTCCCTATGGGGCCACGAAACGTGTGAGGGGTGTGCCAGAATGGGGGGTGGAACCGCATGCGGGCGCAGCCACTGGGGCCTTCGGTGGAGCTCCCTATGGGGCCACGAAACGTGTGAGGGGTGTGCCAGAATGGGGGGTGGAACCGCATGCGGGCGCAGCCACTGGGGCCTTCGGTGGAGCTCCCTATGGGGCCACGAAACGTGTGAGGGGTGTGCCAGAATGGGGGGTGGAACCGCATGCGG